CGGCACCGGTATCAAATACCCGGGAGTTACTACGAGTACTGGTAAGGTACACATCAATTACATGTATATCAAATATACCTTTAGTGTTGCCGGCCTTCTTGTCTGCTAAGTATTTGGGGCAGTTCCGCTTCTAGTGACCCTTCCCTTTGCAATAAAAACACTCAGTCTCAGGCTTGGGTCCATTGCCTGACTTCTTCCTGGCAACTGGCTTACCAGGCGCGGCAACATCCTTCCCGTCCTTCTTGAAGTTCTTCTTACCCTTGCCCTTCTTGAACTTAGTGGTTTTATTGACCATCAACACTTGATGCTCCTTCTTGATTTCTACCTCTGCTGACTTCAGCATTGAAAATACTTCAGGAATAGTTTTCACCATCCCCTGCATATTGTAGTTCATCACAAAGCTCTTGTAGCTCGGTGGGAGCGACTGAAGGATTCTGTCAATGACCGCCTCGTCCGGGAGGTTAATGTCCGGCTGGGACAGGCGGTTGTGCAACCCAGACATTTTGAGTATGTGCTCACTGACAGAACTATTTTTCTCCATCTTACAACTGTAGAACTTGTCGGAGACTTCATATCTCTCGACCCGGGCATGAGCTTGGAAAACTAGTTTCAGCTCTTCGAACATCTCATATGCTCCGTGTTGCTCAAAACGCTTTTGGAGCCCCGGTTCTAAGCTGTAAAGCATGCCGCACTGAACGAGGGAGTAATCATCAGCACGAGACTGCCAAGCGTTCATAACATCTTGGTTCTCTGGGATGGTGCTTCACCTAGCGGTGCTTTTAGGACATATTGTTTCTTGGCAGCTATGAGGATGATCCTCAGGTTCCGGACCCAGTCCGAATAGTTGCTGCCATCATCTTTCAGCTTGGTTTTCTCTAGGAACGCGTTGAAGTTCATGGTGACATGAGCGTTGGCCATTTGATCTACAAGACATTTTGCAAAGATTTTAGACTATTGTTCATGATAATAAAGTTCATCTAATCAAATTATTTAATGAACTCCCACTCAGATTTGACATCCCTCTAGTCATCTAAGTGTTACATGATCCGAGTCGACTAGGCCGTGTCCGATCATCACGTGAGACGGACTAGTCATCGTCGGTGAACATCTCCATGTTGATCGTATCTTCCATACGACTCATGTTCGACCTTTCGGTCTCTTGTGTTCCGAGGCCATGTCTGTACATGCTAGGCTCGTCAAGTTAACCTAAGTGTTTTGCATGTGTAAAACCGTCTTACACCCGTTGTATGTGAACGTAAGAATCTATCACACCCGATCATCACGTGTGTTGTTGAAGTTGCAACCACGACGAAGCAACAAGGGGAAAGTATCATGCGGTCCATCCATGGCGAAACAGTTTCACTTTTTTTTTTGACCCTGGGGGAGGGGGAGGGAGGGGGTGGGGGGTTGTATTCTCAAACACCACATCTAAGACCGTACGTGGACCCAAACGGATCTACGTCATGATTCTACCTTCAGTTCTTGCAAACCTAGCTACTCCCTCCTTCCATCTGTATAGGGCCTAATGCGTTTTTTAAGACAGCCATTGACTATTAACAAGATTAATAGTATATGACATGCACAATGTAAAAATTATATCATTGAAAGCTCCTTTCACACACGAATTTAACGGTGTGCTTTGTGTAAGTTACATGTCATATATTATTGCTCTAATATTTGGTCAAAGTTAGTCTCGAAAAATGCATTAGGCCCTATATAGATGGAAAGAGGGAGTAGGTAATAACTAGCTTTATTTTGAAACAGTTTCACTTTGCAGTGGCAGTCACATTGCACTGGATAATCCATCACCCTTGCCTGCGATACACGGCGCCCAAGCTGTTCAGCTTAGGGCAACTTCAATGCACGATCTCAAACGGATGTTCATTTGGTCCGCTTTTCGTCCGTTTGGAGGTGTGAAAGGTCCGCGTCTGTCCGGATTTGTGGATGCGTCGGCCGCATTTAGTTCAAATACATTTTTTGCAACACATTTCTTATTATTTTTATCATCGATTTTTTCGATACATTGGAGTACATGTGCATCACCAAATCTTGACTAGAATAGTAAGACCAAAGAAAATAAAGAACCACAAGAAGACGTTTTAAAAGATATCCAACTTCTATAACTGCTCTCGCAAGTTGGATTAGTGCACGGACATCTATTCTAGCAACAAGTGCACGGACAACCTCTATTCTAGCAACAAGTGCACGGACATCTATCAAATTTCGCTTTATTACTAGATCGATGTATTCTTCTTCTCGATACCATGCATACATCCTACATAATAAATATTTGAGTGTGAGCAAAACGCGCCGAATCCGAGAGCACAACTGAAACTAAACTAGCACATACCCCATCGTCTTTGCACTTGCCGAACACCCATCTGGGATGTTCCGACGTTGTAGACACGCGGCGTAAGACCTTCCATGGACAATCGGAGCGGCAACGGTGCGCTGACGAGCCTTGGGCAAGCACCGAGCCCAGACGACGGTCGCTGGTGTATTTGCCGGCAAACCGGCAACCGGGTAGATCCGAGCGGCTAGAGGCGGAGTCAATACCTACATGCGGCATGGGGGCGAAGTTGCCGGTGGTGTGCGGTCGGGTACCCGGCCTGTCCATGGCACGACACGGCCTCCAGCAGCTGGGGTGAGCTCAAATCCGGCCGGATCTGCTCCAAATCGGACCGCCGGATGCGCCGAAACCAGGCGGTCGGGATTGGACAGCTCGGGGTATCGAGGGAACGGGGTCTGCTACAAGGGGAGGGGGCGGGCTCGCGGTTGTGCTGGATAGCGCATGGCCGAGAAAAAGGCGGCGGTGGCGGCTTGGGATGAGAGGGGAGTGAGGCGAGGAGGGTGCGGCTGGAGAGGGGAGTGGGGCGGGGAGGGTGCGGCTGGAGAGGGTGGAATAGGAAAAGGGGTGCATGTGTCTCCGACGGGGCGGGCCAGGAGAGGACATGGGCATGCGCCAAGCGTCGCCCGCGTGTTCGTTCGGCCGCAAACCCGACCCAAAATTGGACAGGGAATGGGTCAAAAGCGGACAAAAAACGGACATTGGTCCGTTTGCTCTTGCGCATTGGGCCGCCTGTTCTGTCCGTTTACCCCTAAACGGACGCGGCCGGACCATTTGAGGTTGTGCGTTGGAGTTGGCCTTAGCTATCACCTTTGTGTATACTTTTTAGACATTTTTTGATTTGCGTATACTTTTTAAAAATTGTTAACGTTTTTCAAAAGAAATGAACATTTATTAAAAAATGTATCTTTTAAAATTTTGATAAAATTTCTAAAATCCATGATCATTTTTTTATATTATGAACATGTTTATGAAATTTTGTAAATTTTCTAGTCTTCATCTTTTAAACAATTTCCGTAGGAAAAATAATAATTTCGCTTAATACCGTTGGCACGGAGCACGGAGCATATTTGTTCCTCTACAAAAACCAGCTCAAAACCAGGCGAAGGAGCCAGTTTTGCCAGAGAACCGGCTAAATCAACGAACAAATAGAGGGAACATATCAAGGATGGGATGTGGTTTCAAGGGTGAGCCTAATTTCAAAAGGGCATTTACATGTTCTGGCACAAGTTTGTAAAAAAACACATTTTGGCACAAAAGCAAAGCGGGAACAATAGAAAATATGAAGAAAAAACCCTGATTTTTTTCCCTGAGAATATGTTCATCTATTTTTTTTTTACAAAAAATGCATGGCTTCCCCATTAAGTGGAATAAGAGGCGGGGAAAAGGGAAAAATAAATTAAAAGAAACAAACAGTTACTCTATTAAAGAAAAAGAAGAGTGCTTTCAGAATTCCATGGCAAAGTTTCATCCCAGCGCACTTGCCGACTGCAAAATTCTGCAGCGCAGCAGGCCACGCCTGGCCTTGGCGGCCAGTCATCCAGATACAGCTTCGCCACATTGCCAGGAGAATCGCCTGGCTGGTGTGTTCCCAGTCGGATTCGGCGATCTGAAGCAAGCAAGCAAGCAAGCATCGGGATCTGTCGTTTATGGATCCTGACGTCGGCCATGTCGACGAGCTCACCGGTATCCGTCGACTACGGATCGACTTGCACGCAATGGCAGCAGCCAACCACCAGCAAATCAGCGCCGGTGCCCCACCTCCCGGCCATCGCTCGCGAAAGATCGCTGGGGCCTGGGGCCTTCCCGGCCTGGACGACGAACCAGAATCAGCAAGCCGAATAAAAGCGGCGAAAAATTTGTGTTGTTCAGGTTGCAAGTTGCAACCACGAATAAGCAACAAGGAAAAAAGTATCCTGCGATCCATGGCGGAACAGTTTCACTTTGCAGCAGCAGTAATATTGCACCGGAGAATGGAATCCATCACCGTTGCCGCGATCCTTGGCGCCGATGTTATTCAGCTTGCTGACTCAACCAAGACGGATTTTCTTGCTTTGGGCCACGAACTGCAGTCGCTGTGTTGGCTGGTAAATTTGGTGAGATGGGGGCGGCCATGCCATGCCATCAATTGCCCTGGGAGGGAGGCGGCAGCGAAATGCAACGGGGACCGATCGCAAATTCGCAATGACTGCCAACATCATGTGCGCATACTGATGGCGATGGAGTGGACGCACACGCCATGTCGGCGAGTTCACCGAATTCGTCTTCGTCTACAGATGAGATCGATCGACCTCGACGCCGTGACGTGACGTGACCCGGCCACCGCCAAACCGCCAATCAAGATCGGTGCCCCACCCACTGCCCGTGCTCGTGAAAGATTGCCGGCTCTGTCCCGTCATGGACGAGACAGAATTAGCGATCGCAATGAAGGCGGTGCGTACGGTGGATCCAGGCGCCGACGAAACCGGCAACTTCCTTAATTATTCACGTCGACGTCGGCCGGCAAAACAAAACAATGCGATCAACGATGATGGTGATGAAATTGTTTTACCGGCAGCAATTGATCCGTACATTACATATGTGGCGGCGGCAGCAATGGCGAAGGGGAATGAATGGATGAGGGAGCCGGCGAGGTAGGTAGGTAGCTGGCTGGCTACTGGTGGTGGACGGCGGCGGCGGGGCGGCGCGCGGGCTGGAGGCGGTTGACGAGGGCGAGGGCGATGCCGGCGGCCTGCTCGACGGCGACGACGCGGCGCCTCACGTCCTCCCGGGGCGCGCCGGCGCCGGCGTAGGTGGCGAGGGAGTCGAGGCAGGTCTCGGCGTCGGTGAGCGCGGCGCTGGCCCAGGTCTGCACGTTGCTGAGGCACCACGCGAAGCGCGGGGACGAGGCGCGCCCCACCCGCCCGCCCAGCTCCGCCGCCGACTGCTTCAGCAGGTCCGCCGCGTCGCGCACCGTCTCCGCGCAGTCCCCCATGGCGCCGCCCTTCCCCTTCCCCTTGGACGACGCGTAGGAGGAGGAGGAGGAGGGGGAGCCGATGTAGGCGGAGCAGTTGCGCGCGGCGTCGGCGGCGGCCGCGAGCGCCGCCTGCGCCAGCCGGCGCGGGCTGAGCCCCACGGCCGGCGCGCGCGGCACCAGGCTCCGCTCGCACGCGCGCGGGTAGCTCGTGGCCCGGCAGCACCGCCGCACGTAGCCCTCCGCCTCCGCCCGGCTCGCCTTCGGGGGACTCGACGCCGACGCGGCGCCGGCCAGGAGCAGGAGGAGGCAGGGGAGGAGGACGAGGTGGCGCCGGCTCATCTTGGCTTTGCCACTGAGAGGAGAGGATTCTTTGCTTGTGTGTGCGTGGAGGTGTGGTCAGAGTCAAGTCGGGGTTGCTCGTCGGCGCCGGCGAATCAAGTCGACGGGGAGTAGTGAAAAGGGCAGAAGAGGGAATATATAAGATTTGTTAGGCAGAGGAGCTCGGCCGTGGAGTGGCGAGTGACCAGACCAGCCGTGGCCTTGCACATTCAGCGGTCGTCACGCCTTCTTCTTCTCCGGTCTTTCTTTGGAAAAGGAAAATGTTAGGCAAAGTCGGGCGTCGTGCCCGGCTTCTTCTTACGATGATATACTCCCTATAAATTTGTAGTATGTACTACGTACACTCAAAATAATGTGTCTCATGTGTTGTGTCTAGAAACGTCTCAATGGTGTGACGTGAGGGCATCTCCAACGCTGACCCTCAAACCCCCTTGGAACCATGTGGCCTGAACGTATTTTGCTGTCCAACGTGGTTTTGTATCGATCCGTAGGTGGGTCCGGACGCGCTTTTTCCCGCAAACCTGACATAAACTGAGGGCGGGGGCTTTGCGGGCGTCCGGACCACTACCGCGCCCACTCCTGACTACCCCTGGCCCACCCAAAACCTTCCTCCTCGCGCGCATGCGTTCCCGTCCGACATCAGCTACCCGCATTCATGCCACTGTAGAGCGGCCGCTCTGCAATGGCGCTGGCCCAGAGCAGACGCGTCCTTTCGTTGGCGCCGACACTGAAGCGGCGCACCGGCTAAGAGGCGCTCCACGAGGACGCATGTGCTTAATGTGCCGTCGCAACTCAGAGCCAGCGTAGCAAGACACGGACGCAGCCGTAGCCGCACACGCGCAGGCAGCGCAGTCGGTCGAGGAGGAAAACGCCGCCATCTTCGGGGGTGCATGTGGCCGGTGGGCAGTAACGAACCGTCAACATCCATTGACATCAGCGATGGACAGGTCGCAGACTCTCCGAGGTTGAGTAGGGCATGAAAGGCGGTAGGGCGTTGTGTCTCGAGTGGGCTAGTCCATCTTCTATGTTCTACTCTTCCTTGTCGTTGACCTCACCTTCACTTCATAGATCTTAAACCCCACCGTTGATCATGGAGACGGCAGATGGAGGACGTGATCGCCGATGCGAGTACAAACAAAGTGGACGACCGGCATCACCGTATGATAGGTTTAGGGTCCGTCCGCTTTTCTTTTAATGACAAATGCCTCAAATATGATGAATGTAACCCGGTTTATAAGAAAATCCGTCGTGTTTGTATGAATTTC